TGAGAGTATCCTGAGGCCAAGAAGGGAGCCAGCTTTAAGATGGCCTTGCATATAACAGAGCATAGGTGACAGTATTGAGCCACCACGCCTAACAATGATTTTTCTTTTTCAGTGTTGTGGGTTAATAAGCAAACTATACTCAGACAATTTGAATTGTGTTTTTCTTTTTTGTGTCTTGCAAACAAAATAATCCTAAGCAATATACCTCTTTTCCATATCTCTTAAAAAATTATATTTATTCTTCTTAAATTAAAAATCATTATTGTTTTTATAGTTGCTATCACTTTTAAAATAATTTACCTGGGAAATTTCGAGATGCATAAGTGAAATTATTAGATCATAAATAAAGGATAATGCATTTTAATTGTACTTTCTACTTTCTAATTAAAAAGAATTCTCTATCCAATTTTTATACTGTAATATGGCTTCTCATATTTTATCCTTACTTCTTGTTTTTTTCTGCCTTTGGGTATTTTTTAATAAGAATATTTTGTTTTTTAAAATGTTATTGTTCAAATTTCTTTAACTGTGCTGTAAATGTTTATCCTTTAGAAGCTGGGTGACCTCCCCCACTAGAGCTCACTAATGAGGCCACTGTCTTATGTCCCTTCAATTTGTAGGTCAGCTTTGTTGCCATAATTCCTCAGCAGCCAGGGTCATTGGACCTTTTTAGCAGGCCATCTCACAAATGGATGTCACTGCTCATAAACAAAAGAATTTCATAAGAGAATTTAGATGAATAAACATTTTCTCTCACCTTGTCTCATTAAGTGAAAGCATTATATCATTACATCCCATTTCTTATTGTGAATTAGCATCCTCCCAAGATAGTTTTAACATAATATGTGGTACAGTGGCAGGCCCAAATGTCCACTTTGTGCTTTAGATTATGGTACCTATACAAATTTCAGTATTGATGGTTGTTATGCACTTTATTAAAATAATTTTGCAAATATTTTGATGCATCTGCTGTGTGCTAACCCGTCCATTAGATGCTGTGGGGACATATTACTTTCTAATGTTATAGTCTAAGTGACGTAAGAGAGGAAGCCACAACATTCTGTGGGAGAGGAAAGGCAGGGTGGGGACAGGAGATGGAGTAGGGAGTGGGGAGGAGAAATCAAAAGGCTCTCAGAACAATTAGTAGGGGAGCTGGGCTTTGAAGATCACTTAGCACTTAGGCACTGGGGTGGCCATGGACATTCCCAAAAGAGAGCAAAGGTGCAGAATGCTAAGTGAAGTTAGCCAACCCCCAAAAGACGAATACCGAATGTTTTCTCTGATATAAGGTGACTGACTCATAGTGGGGTAGGGAGGGGGAGCATGGGAGGAACAGACGAACTCTAGATAGGGCAGAGGGGTGGAAGGGGAAGAGAGGGGTCAGGGGGTTAGCAATAATGGTGGAATGTGATGGACATCATTATCCAAAGTACATGTATGAAGACACGAATTTGTGTGAACATACTTTATATACAGAGATATAAAAAATTGTGCTCTATATGTGTAATAAGAATTGTAATGCATTCTGCTCTCATGTATTTAAAAAATAAAATCAATTAAAAAAAAAGGCCAAGGTATGTCCTAGGCACTGTTTGGCTAAAGCATGGGACGAATGAAAATAAATAGTTAAGAAGTAAAGTTGAAAACATAATCGGCAGCAGACGGAATCCTTGGGTGTCCTGCCAAAGAACTGAAGGTGCAGAGCTTGGCAGAAGTTACTGGGTGAGGTATGCGAATTGGAAGCTTTTTGCCTCATTGTTAAGGGTAGAAAACAGTGGCAGGTAAACTGGTTGTAAGAGGCAGAGGGAGAGTTCTGGGCTGGCAGAGCAGGTAGAGAGTTGGAGAAGGGGATCATGGAAGAGGGAGACTGCAGGGAGGCTGAACTGAAAACCTGCAGGGAAATCCCACCTGAGCTGACTTCTAAGAATTACACATGGAGGAGACCCCAGTGGGCCCAGTGGGCCCAAGAGACAAGCAAAGCTGGAAGACAAAAGAACCTTAGATGCTGTCCATCTAAGGTTAGGGTTAGGGAGGGAGGGAGGCTAGAGGCCCAGCTCCCCTACTAATTGTTCTGGAGCCTTTTGATGTCCCCTCCCCACTCCCTGCTCCATCTCCAGTCCTGTCCCCACCCTGCCTTCCCTCTCCCACAGAATGTTGTCGCTTCCTCCCTATGTCACTTAGACTATAACATTAGAAAGTAATTTTGGTATTAAGGTTGTGCTGGCCTTATGAGTCAGAGTATGTATTCTCTGCTACTATTGTCTGAGAAAGTTTGTACAAGACTTGAATTATATTTTTCTTTTCAGAATTGGTGCACTTAACCAGTGAAGCTACGTGAGTCCTGCATTATATTTATGTGGGAGATTTTAATTATTGACTTAATTTCTTTATGTACTATGCCAATGTTTGCATTTTAACTTATTTTCTATTTTTCTGATGTTGGTTTTGATAGGTTCACATTATCCTATCATGATATTTTCAATGTCTGTAAAATTTGTGTAATGTTCCCTTTTATAAAATCTGATATTGGTTATTTTTTTTGCTTTCTCTCATTTTTTATCGCTAAGTTTGCAAATGTGTATCAATTTGATTAGTAATTTCATGAAATCAACCACAATTTGGTTTTTGATTCCTTGTAGTTATTTTACACATTTTTATATTATGATTTTTTAGCTTAATATTTTATTCTTTTTTCTCTTGGTATTCTTTCTATAATTGATTTCAATGGTTATTTAATTTGCTACTCTTCATTTTTTTAAGTTACATTTAAGGCTATTAGATTCTGGGAGGAATCTTCATAGAAAGTAATCAGAAATGCTAGCTGATGATGGTGAGGTCAATTTTTGCCTCTGGATAAAGGGAAACTTATACCAATAGCAAGAAAAAAGGTACACACAGCCATTACATGTTATGCCAATTATATACAGATCAATTAGCCTTATTACAGAATTCTATCTGAAAGATTTAGTTTAAGCACATAATGTTTTCCCAGTGTGTTGGGACTTGGCATGACCTTGCACAGTTAGCCAGCATTTCTTGCCGAGAAAAGTTTGGCTTTACGGACATGGATTGAGAAGAGAGAGCGGAAGTTAGACTCAGGATCAGTACACAATAACAAGAATCGAGGCATCCTTGCAGTGACAGCCACCATGATAAGTTATAAGGCTGCTAGAACTTTAAATTATTAGACACCTAGGTAGTTAATTTTCCTGACAATCATGTTTCTTGAGTTCTAATAATGTTTTCACCCATCAGCAAGTGACCTCTAGAGTGTACCATCTATTTTGTCATAATACGTCACTTCTTTCTTAACTCATTTTTGTATCTTCAAATACAGAGCAAAAAAAATTGAAAATCACTTCACCTTGGCTTGAGGTTTTCTAATTTCTTTGTCTATTTTAATTGTAAAAAACATAATAAAAATATGACTTAGTAACTCTCTTTCTGCCCTTCGGATCTTCACAGGGACACGGGGGTCACCTGAGAAGGCAGCAATCCTAACATGATATTGTTGCTATTCTGGTGGATGCAAGGGGAAAGGACAGATAGATAGTTCCTGGAGAGAATGTTCCGGTCCTTTTGTGTTTATCAGTGAAATGTGGGTATCCTCCTTTCGAAATGTAGGATTTCAACTAGAATGTAATGTGTTTGGAAAGCATGACCCATTTGGGTGAGTAAGTCACACTTGGAGAATGCTTTCACATGGCTCAGTCCTGTCCCCTTTCAAGGGCCTCCCCAGGTCACCCCTCAGCAGCTGAGGCACCAGGGACCCCTGTTAAGGGCCTTTGGTTTTCACGCCTGGTGACACTTTTGTCTGGTTTCACCTCTGTATTTGGTGGCAATGTGGCCTGGTAAGTTGGGATCTCTGTGGTGACCACAAAGACTGGAGGACAAGTTTCTCAGCTGATTGAGTGTCGGCAGTGAAATTCAGCACGGGAGCTGACAGTCTAGTCCTGTGAAGTGTACTTCAAACCAGTGACTGCGACAATCCAGACTCCGGGCCAGGACCCTGCGCTGGACTGTCACACCTGCGACAGCCAACGCAGGGCTCCCAGGCGCGCTGTCTGTCCTCCAGGGAAGGAGATGAGGCGAACTGGGCTGGAAGCAGGGAGCCATGGGGCCTGGGCCTGGGTCCAGCAGGTGGCATCCAAGAACAGTTGGGACTGACCCCTGCTTTTAGTGAGCAGCAGAGGGCTGGGCAGTGGCTGTCTGGGGCATCATCTGGTGTGGTGGTGGCCCAACCAGAGGAGCTGGCCTGACCCCAGCAGCTGAGGACAGACCACCTTCTCTCTGAGCCTTCACAGGTGGGCACTGGGGGTGACCTATGGTGACCCTAATACCAGGGCAGAGGTGAGAAGACCCAGGGAAGCTATCCAGGGACATGATCTCAGAAACACCCTTGAAGGGGCTGCAGAGGGTCAGAAGTCTCCAGGCAGAGTGGGTAGCCAGAGACAGATGAAGCCGGTGGGCAGTCCCTGGAGTCACTGTGGCAACCTGCCCAATTTTAAAATGTCACCTACTAAAACGTTGATCTTTTCTCATTCCAGACTTTTTTTTCCTTAAAATTATAAATATTACTTACAAATCTTACTACCTAAAAGGTACTCAGCCTGTATTGTTGCGGTATACAAATTAGGGACGCTATTTAAAAAGAACCTGGGTGTGCACTGCTGTGTACACATACAAAGACACCTCACCTCAGAGTGTACTTGTCAGTACCTGGGTAGGGTCAGTACTGTGTCATTACCATGAAACCTTCTTTTTAAAATTAGTGCAAACCTCCCACGATTTAGTTTGTTTATGTGTCTAAGCCATAGTGTAGCATTGATGATGGGATCTATTTTCAGAATTTTGGGTTTTCTAGCTTCATAAATCAGTTTATAAAAATTCTCACAAAAACCAGGGATCGCCTCTGTTTGCTGTGTTTTATTGCTTAATTAGCAAGTTGTCAAAAGCGGCACCATATAAACTGAGCGATGCTTTCTCACCTGTTCACTTACTTTTTATCGGAATAATGAGCTGTGGAATGACAGGTAGAATCTTGTTTCCCCCATGTTCCAGCATGTCATGGATTCCTTGCCGAGCAAAAAACTCATAGGGAAATGTCATTTCACAAAGCCCATCAAAAAACAGAGGCAGGTAATGATGGTAATCCAGCTTCTCGATTTCCACCTGGAAGTAGAGAAGAGAGGTCGTGTAAGAACAGCAGTGGGTCGTTCGGCAAGCCCAGCCAGCCTCCAGGCTTGGTCCCCACCTGGGCAGGAACAGACTCTGCAGAGCTCTCGGAAGGGTGGGACTGGCCAGGGCACCCAGCCACCTGGAGCATGTCTCATGCCTTCGTTTGTTAGCAAGTGCAAACTTATTTGCTGATCTTGAAATCTTAGCAGTCAAATCTCTTACTGACATCGGGAGCATGTTGATTATTTGCTTCTTTTTAAAAATGATTCAAGAAGCCCATTGTATTGTGTTGAGAGATACATGTAGGAATAAAACAGAACAACCACAGAAAACAATTGAAACAGATCAGCGCCGGGAGCTGTAGCAGGGATAGCAGGGAAAGTGCGTTGCTGTACTCTTGTGACGTATGGCATCTTTAGGACCTGGCCAGCGAGAGGGAATCAAATATCCACGGAGCCTGGATGACAAGTTAGTGGCGTCAAGAAAAAAGGACAAGACAGAGTGTGCTGAACCTGAATGGACCCCTGACACCTCAGAATCAAAAATGTCCCAGGTCTCCCCAAGCTGCTTCTTCTGGGAGCAGAGCTGTCTGTCTTTCCCCCTCCTCCAGCTGTCACCCCCACTGACACCTCTAAGACCTCCTGCCAGACCTTCGCGTCAGGGAATGGAACTAACCTCTGCAGCACTGCTCTTTACCATGTCTGGGTGAATCAAATGGCCTGTGGTTTCCCGGGGCAGGGGCCCTGACTGCAGCCTGCTCATGAACTTCCCATTCACACTGCGCCTTGCCATAGTGGCTGGAGAGGAAGAGGGAGCCCAGCCAGCCAAGGCAGCAAACTTCAGATCCTCATTTGGATCAGTTGTTCTTTATATTCCTTGTGTACTTATAGTATTCATTTTATTCAGTAGAAGTTTGTGGGATATCTACTTAATATTTATCTTTTCAAGGTTTTTTTGCATATGAAAATATTTTAGCACATTATTTTGTACATTTTGAAAAACTTATTGCTACATGATTCAGCTATTAGAGGTACCCTGTTGTTTTGTATAATTTTATCTTGTAACCTGACTTCATGATAAGTGTCATCTGTACTATAATCTTGTGTTAAATTTTTAAAGTATGCTGCTGTTCTCTTTTGGCTCACTGTCACATTTTTACACGTTTCTCTTATAATTAGCAAACCATTAATATTTTTACTATAATCTGATCTAAGTCCCTATATTTTAATACAGTAATTTAGGTCATTTATATTTATATCTAGGCCTGGTTTAACTTGAGTCATCTTATTTTATGTGTCTGGTGGTTGTTTTCACTTACTGTTTCTTTTCTATTTTACAGCTTTGTTATATAGATTTTGCTTTATTTGCTTTAGTTTATTATTATTTTTGTGATGAATTTTTAAAGATAAGACAGCCTTCTTAGATATTTTATCACAGTTATAGCTTTCTCAAAGATTTTTAAACATATCAATCTTAATTAGATAGGTAAGTTAAAAATCTCCTAATAAGATGGTTGACGTGCCAATTCTTCCTTGGAATTCTATTTCTTTCTTCATTTGGTTTGAGGCAACTATACTACAACAAAAGCAACAAACAGTAATGCCAATATTCATGATTCCAGACACTGTATAAACACAGCACTAGTTTATTTAATCGACAATTTGAATTAGTATTGTTAGTATCCCAATTTGCGGCATGTGGAAACTGAGGCACAGAGCAGCTTATCAGCTTGCTCAAGTCTGCAGCTCATGAGTGTCGGCATGAGGACTCGAACCCCAACAGGCTGGCTCTGTGACAGGGCACCACTCCTCAGGCTTGTTGTTGGGCACATCAAGGACCGTCAGTATGGGAACCTCCTAGTGAATTGCTCCCTTTGTCCTTCTGTCCTCCTCATTGTCATCATGGACACAGCTTGTCTTCACCTGATGCCACTGTTGCCACAACAGGGTCACCTAGCACATGCTTATTTTCTACCCTTCAGCTTTCTGCTTTGCTCCGACATATTTGGAGAGTCTCCTCTGGAGCTTATAGCTGGATTTGCTTTGTTCCCTTCCCTTTGAACATGAGCACCCATATGATTCACTTTCTAAGTCGTTTTGGGGGAAAAAAAACTAAGAATTTTTGAAGCAAGGAAGAGAAAAGAGAAAGAGAGGGTTATTGAAAGACAGAAACATTGAATGAAAGACTAAGTGAGCAAGAGACTGAGAAAGAAGAATAGCCCCTATGTCTTTAAATCCTTCTGGCTCTTGCACCTCAGCAACTCTTCCCTACAAAACCCCTCTCCTGTGTGTTCTTTCTCTGACCTCGCCATTGGCCATTGGCATTTCTGCCGTCCTTGCAGATGTGTTGCCGAAGGAATGGAATAACAACTGGCCAGTGCAATCATAAACTTATTTAAGCACCATAGATACTGTTCAGCTTGCAATGGGGTGGATTTGTATCTAACTTTCTTCCTGCTTGCGAATCTTCTAGGGTCTCTTCTTATGATTATAATTCCATTTTCAGCTGATGAATTTGGCTCGGCCCTGGGGTTCCATTTACCACAGGAGTTGTGTATGTGTGCTAATAACATTTATTACTTTTCTCTGTAGTTTTCTTTCTTTCTTTTTTTGAAAATTTCCTTCTAGTTGTTGGTCTACTTTCACAGTAAAGTTTTTCAAGAGAATTCTCTAGAATCATTTCTATATCTCCTCACTCTCAGTCGCTCTTCCCACTTCTCCACCATCTCATTGAAGTTGCGTTATGGAGGTCACCAATGACCACCTCTCTGCCTCATGACCTTGTCCCTTTTCTGTCCTCATCAGCACAGCACAGCTGACGTCACCCCCAATGCCGGTGGCTGTCTTGATTCTCAGCAGCAGTCGGACTCCAGATAAATCCTTAAATCATCTGCTTGTGCACCACTTTGCTCAGTCCCCGCTTGGTCTGAGCCCACCTGCCTTACCTGGGTGGCTACTGCAGCCTCGTGGCTAGCCCTTGTTTATATTTCTGCCTCCTGTCTTGGGTCCTTGGCCTGCTGTTGCTCCTGACCAGAGCCCCACCAGGACCTCCCCGTCTGGGCTCTGGGTGTCTGCAGTCCACTGGATCCCCCTAAATGTGGTGCTCTAGAGACACAGGGGCCTCTCCCCCAGGCTGGCCTGTGCACCTGTCTTAGTCTGCTCAGGCAGCCGTCACAAAGCCCCGTAGGCTGAGTGGCTTCAACACAGACACTTATTCTCTCACAGTTCGGAGGCTGGAAGTTCAAGATCAGGTTGAGGCCTCTTTTCCTGGCTTGTGGAAGTCGCCTTGTACTGTCCTCACAGGGCTTTTCCTGTGTGTGTGCACACAGCCAGCTCTGGTGTACCTCCACTTCTTACCAGGGCACAGTCCTTCTGAGTGCACTTAACCTGTGTGACCTCCGCATGGCCCTATGTCCAAAGAGGTACACAGGGTGTGAGTGCTTCCCACTGTGAATTGTGTGTTGGGCAGGGGGCACAATGAGTCTCTTGCACACCATTCTCTCTCTGCCAGGCCTCTCTGTCACGGCCAGGTCCTGCCGTCTAGACCTCAGTTCTGCAAGGCCTTCCTACCAACACCTCTCGCCCTGCTTGATTTTCTTTTAGCCCTAATCACTTATTCATTCAGTTTCTTAAGTTCTGTTGTTCAGGGAGCTTGTCACCACCTAGAAGGGTGTTTGGCACGTGATAGGTGTTGAATTTTAATTGTGGCCTTTTGAATCTGCCCTGTGTGTTGACCTCCTTGAGAGGCTTGCTCAGCTGAGGACTGCCGCTCAGGGGATGGAAGCCGGGTGGGCTGGCTGCTCAGGGGGCCTGGTGCTTCCCACTGACCCTGCAGCAGGAAGGGGAATGCAAATGCCTCAATTTACATATTCGACAGCACCGTGTGTTCCTCACAGTGCTTTTTGTGATTATTCACATTTCAGGAGTTTTATGAGTACTTTAATAGGCACTCAGGATGGGGCCCTTGATGCTGGTATTTACCCTCATTTCACTGGAAATCATGTAGGGCTCAATGGGCTTTTCTGTTTACTTTTCAAATCATAGAAGAATAGTTTCTGTTTTTCATAGTGTCATCATGTGCAGGCATATTACAATATGTCCATATTGATCATAATTATAAGAGGACTTCATTTTAAAAATCTGGATGTTAAGAATGCTTTACGATTAAACCAAAACTTGAAGAAGAGATAAATGAGGGCGTCCCCTCAATATTGACCTCTGTGTTTGTTGTGCCATGACTCCTGTCACTTAGAGTGCTTCTAACTGCTGGCCTCGGCTTCATTTAGATTTACAGAAAGCCATATTTAAGGTTTATTTAGAAGTAGACTTTCTTTCAGTTTCATAATCTTTTTGCTCTTAAGGTATAATATGCTTTATATTTACTAAATATTACCATAAAAGTAGTTTTCAAATTTGAGGACCTTCTTTAAAGTTTCCAGAACTAAATCCAGAACTAAAAGAAATCCAGAACTAAAAGAAAACTCTCTGAAGTGGAGCACAGAACAGGTGCTGTTTTAGAGGTCATTAAAATTACATGGAGATACACTGATTAATGACTACTTTGATAGCAACTCCAGAAACATGGAGTATTTTTATGCACAGAGTCTTTTTAAAATTGATGTTTTATAACTTTTTAAAGATTGCAGTACCTACAAGTGGATCTCTAAATCTTTCAGTGACCTTTGGTCAAAAGCAATAAAATTCTAACTTGACCTGGTGTGTCAAATATAGCATTTTATCCCCATAACAAATGTGAAAGGTAGTGGTGCTGCACTCAAAGGTCAGAAACACAATAAGGTTAATGACTTCCATTTACAAAATTCAAATCAGAGGCTTATTCTTACATCTTGCATATCCTGCATCAGTGAGCAAATGAAATATCACTGAAAATATCGACTGTTATGACTCTTATAACAATTCCTGAGGATCCTGTTTAGTATTACAAATTAATCTGGAAAAAGTATAATTAATATATTTTGGATTCATTTGGACATA